AGTGAGGAGATGGGGGTTGGGGAAGGGAGAGAGGAACCAACTGTGACAGCCAGGGAGGCCTCAAAGAGAAGACGGGTAGCCAAAATGACTGGATTATATAAGGAAGGACATCTAGGGGAGGGCAGCCCAGTCACGGGGTTGCAGAGTCGGGGATGGGGTATGCCAGCCAGGAGGACCCAGTTACATGTAGAAAGAACTGATGGATGCTGGAAGAACCTGGTGGTTATCGTGTGCTTTGATATGTAAAATAGACACTGGGCTTGAAACCTAACACCTAGAACTTAGTCTGGGATTCCCCATGAGTTTGTGTCCTTGGTCCAGTTACTCAGTTACCCTCAGTGCCCCTTAACTTGTATGCTAAGTGGGGCTAGGGTTGTATCAATGTCATAGGTCTGGGGCTGGAGAGAGATCAAATGGTCACCTCACAGAACTCATGGAGGAAACTCTCAACAGATATTAGCTGTACACTGTCAAGACTGACAGCGCAGTAATTCCCCAGAGCAGAAATCAGACAGACTTTCAGTTTTTAATGACGCTCTGTGTGCTCTTAGGTTTAAACTTTCTCCTCTATAAAATGAGAGAGCTGGATCAGATAAGATCCAGGCTGAGTTACATTTTGTGCATTTTCCTATTAAAAATAATTAACTAGGGAGTGGACTGCAGCTGTCAATAAAGCACTTGCCTTGTTGGACCAGGACTTGAGTTTGACTCCTAGTCCTCACAGGAAAGTTGTGTGTTTGCACACCCAGTGCTAGGGACAGAGACAGGAAGATCTTAGAGCAAGCTGGCAGCCAGTCGAGACTAACTGGTGAGCTCCAAGGCAATGAGATGTCTCAAAGGAGGGAAATGACAGTTGAAATGAATCCCTGGCCTCCACAGGAGCTCAAATGTTGTGAATGTTGTCTGCTTGGATTAAAAAATTAAGGAGGCCTTTAATCCCAGCACTCAGGAGGCAGAGAAAGGAAGGCAAATCTCTGGTCTACAAGAGCAAGGACAGGCTCCAAAGGCACAGAGAAACCCTGTCTCAAAAAAAAAATTAATGAGATAACTACACCTTTAATGCCAGCATTGTGGAGACAGAAGCAGGCAGATCTCTAAGTTCGAGGCTAGCCTGGTCTACAGAGCCAGTTCTAGGATAGTCAGGGCTACACAAAGAAACCCATCTCAAAAAACCAAAAAACCAAACCAAATTAGTGGGGTGCACAGGAAGCCTTGAATGTGTGACATCCTCAGTAGATGTGTGCTGATGCTGTGGGCGTGGCTATGTCAAGGACCCCAGAGCTCAGACCGAAAGTAAAATGGCAAAACCTTCCATTCTGGTCACGGTGGATGCTCACGGTGTGTACAGAAAACATCCACCATACCTTCATTTATGGTGGAAGGATTGCTCCCCTGCAGAGACTGGTCTTATTGAGATTAGCTATAATCTTGGTCCAGCCTATACCTCAAACCCAGTTCCCTTGTTTATCTGCACATAGCAACTGTGGCACCTTAGTGGGTAACATGCCGTAACCCTGCTTATCTTTTTAACTCTATGTAGTAAAGACCCCGAGCTTCCAGGATGCTGCGGCCTGTCCACCTGATCTCAGCTTCTGTCTGTCCATCTTTTCTTCATTCCCTCACCACCTCAGTCAGAGGTGAGCAGTGTGCCGGTTAAGGCCTCCAGGCATTGTCTGCAGTCCCAACTGTGCTATTGTCACTATGGCCCATTGCAAAGTTACTGTAGAAGGAAAACAAACAAAAACAAAACAAAGCTTGCTCAACTCAGCCAGCTCTGGAGAAACATGATGAACAGGGTTATTCTCAGTTGAAAATACACTGAAAAAAACAGCGTTGTAGCTGGGTGTTGGTGGTATACCCCCTTTAATCGCAGCACTCGGGAGGCAGAGGCAGGCGGATCACTGTGAGTTTGAGACCAGCTGGTCTACAAGAGCTAGTTCCAGGAGAGCCTCCAAAGTCACAGAGAAACCCTGTCTCAAAAAACAAACAACAACAACAACAAAAAAGGCATTGTGTCACATGAAAGGCTTGTATAGTCTTTTCTGCAGATGATATAGATTTACTATGCTAAATTCACCTGACACTTTAACTGGATAGACTTAGAATTATCTGTAAAATCTCAATAAAACACTCTTTGAGTCTCAAAGCAGGAGAATCCAAAGTAGATCCCAAAGAAAAGCTGACTGACTGTAACTCAGCAGCTTAAAAGACATTTTATGTATTTTTCTTCAGGAATAATGGTGGTGTTATATTTTAGCTTAGGAGGTTTGGCACAGAACTATTCCTTGGTTCAGGACATGAGCATAATTGACACACTCATTCTTTTTGTTTTGTTTTTTCAAGACAGGATTTCTCAGTGTAACAGATTTGGCTGTCCTGGAACTTGCTCTATAGACCAGACTAGCCTTGTACTCATAGAGATTTGCCTGCCTCTGCCTCCTAAGTGCTAGGATTAAAGGTGTGTGTCACCACCACTGGGCCAGACACACTCATGCACTCATTCTTGATAGCCTATGTGTCTTATAGACATCTGGAGAGATTGGTGATATACAATAGCTCTGTGTGGGCTCCCATGCATCTTTGGTTCCTTTATACAATGAGCAATGCTTCTTTGCCTCAAATAACCGTATGTGTGTGGGGGGTGTGTGTGTGGGGGGGTGTGTGGTGTGTGGTGTGTATATGTGGTGTGTGTGCGTGTGTGTGTGGTAGTGTAGTGTCAAGGCGTGCACACACCACACACACACACACACACACATACACACACCACATACTGCAGTCACGCTGGCCTGACACTTAGGCTTTTCTGTGCTTTAGTGAGTCCTGGTTTCACATCAGTCTGTCATTTTCAGTTTGTGTAATGCTGCAACTTCCCTGATTGTATTTCCCATAGCTTCCAACAGGACCCCACCCTTACTCTACTGTATTTAGTTGAGGACAAAAGAGGGGAAATATAAATTTCAAGGCTCACAAATGAGCTAGGAAGGGGGAGGGGATGAGCCATATGTCACAGGTAATTATACTATGTAATTATATAGTGCTTTTCCCCCCTCAAAAGTATTTTTGGGGCTTGAATTCATATTATCTTCATTATCCTTGTGAAATAAGTAGGGTGAATATGAGGGAAGGTTGGGTGTTGAAGTTTTAGGCCAAAGATTGCCATTTATACAAATTTGTTGCTAACTATAGAACCCTGAACAGGTTTGTGGCTTTGAGATTCACTTTCCTATCTATAGTGTAAGATCTGTGCTGCCAACTACACAGGGCTGTTGTAAAATCAAATGACAGAATATATACAGAAGATTTGTAAATGATTTAAAAAATTAAATTAAACTATACCAAAGAAACGAAAAAAGAAGGCAGACAAGTGGTAGCTATCCTTGACACTTGACACTTGACACTTGACATTTGACACTTGACATTTGACACTTGACACTTGACACTTGACACTTGCCAAACAGGGCCAAGCAGCCTTGGTGGTAGAGAATACCCTTTATGAAGTTCCCAGCAACTGGTCTTCTGTGTGCTTTCTAAACTTCATTGTTTATTTGTGTGTGCATGACGTATGTGTGTGACTCTCCACCTTAGTTTTTGAGACAGGCCATCTCACAGTTGGTAGGGCACGCCCCTAGTACACATGAGGCCGCAGGTGGATGTCCAGCACAGAATTCACTGGGTATGTTGGCACACTCCTGGAACCGCACTCAGGAGGTGGAGGCAGGATGAAGAGAGGTTCCCGGGCTGTGTGGTGAGATGGATGCTTACTAGACTCTGTCAGACATGGAAAAGAGGTAGGGTAAGAAGCGGGCTAAGGAGATGTGGTGAAGACTTGCAAACATGAAGACCTGAGCTGACTCTTCAGCACTAAGGGAAAACACTAAGTCTTGGTTTTTTTTTTTTTTAACCGAAAACCATGTAGTAGTGAGTACACGCCTTTAATCCCAGCATTAGGGAGTCAGAGGCAGGCTGATCTCTGAGTTCGAAGCCAGCCTTGTCTACAGAGAGTTTCAGGACACCCAGGGCTACACAGAGAATCCCTGTCTCCAAAAAACGAACAAAGCAATAGCAACAATAGGTCTGATGGCATGTGCTTATAACCCAGCGCTAGGAGACAGAGACAGGCAGATCCCTGGGGCTTGTTAGACACACAGCCTAGTCTAACTAGCAAGTCACAGTAAGAGAGTTTGTCTTACAAGACAGGGAGGCTACAGCCTGAGGAAAGACACCTGAAGTCAACCTCTGGCATACATGATGACCTGAGAATATACTCATGAACACGCGTGTACACACACACACACACACACACACACACACACACACACACACACACGCACCACACACACACACAAACACTAAAAAAGAGCCTTTAAGATTGTTTCTCGGAGCCGGGCGTTGGTGGCACACACCATTAATTCCAGCACTTGGGAGGCAGAGTCAGGCAGATCTCTGTTAGTTCGAAGCCAGACTGGTCTACAGAGCCAGTTCCAGGAAAGCCTCCAAAACAATACAGGAAAACCCTGTCTCGAAAAAAACAAAACTAAACTAAACAAAACAAAAAAAGATTGTTTCTCGACTTTTTGGTTAAGTTCAAGTATAAAAACAGCCTTTAAGGAAATTCAGGTGGGCAGATCTCTGAATTCAAGGCCAGCCTGGACTACAGAAGAAGTTTCAGGACAGCCAAGGCTACACAGAGAAACCCTGTCTCAAAAATATATATGAAGGAAAAGAATAACAAAAAGAATCTGTCTATCCGTCCATCCGTCTTCCTAACTATCCATCTCTTTTCTTGGACTCTTGAGATCTGTGAGCTACATACCCCAGTCTAATTTTATTCCTTAAATGAGAGCAAAAACTCGGAAATTCAGCTATCAATAGTATTCATTTAAACTGTAAAGAGACATGATGTGGGACATGCCTGCAATCCCCAAATTTGCTAAAAGAGATGGAAAGTTTAGGGCAAACCTGTGCTAGATAGATTTTTAAAGATAGTAAACAAAGCTTACGGTGTTCAGAAGTATGAAGGGGGCCGGGATTCTCTTGGCTTTGGTAGCTTCAGTGATGCCGTCTGGGATCTGGCTAGTCCATCGTGCCCACCTGCTTCCTTGTGTGCTGCTCTTCTCTGTGAGTGCACAGCTTGTAATCTCAAAACGACTGCAGGGCCAGGCATCACTGCCCTCTCTGAGTGGGACAGAGTGTTTAGAAGGAGTAAGATGTGGCTTTCATGTATCTCCCTCCTAGATTAAGAAAAACAAAGCAAAACAAATGCCATTCACAAATCATTCCAACAGGCCTTTGATGACTGCCCTTTGCCATGACGACGCCCAGACCAATCCCTGGCAAAGGAAACAGCGGCTTAGAACACCCATTGTTACAAATAATCCCACAGTGGAGGCAAAAATCCATCCTGTAGGCCAGGGCACACAGCCTCCCATGGAGTGTCACCTGCATGCAGGATGAAGAGGCAGCTGTCATATAACCCCTTTTGATCCCCTAAGGTTCTTCCTTCCTACCAGCCTGGAAAGTCCATGGGCTCAGCCAGGGTCAAGATCAAATTCAGGGTCACGAAATGGGAAATGATTTGCTCCAAGGTGAAACCCATAGTTTTCCTGTACAGAGTAACCAAAGAAATAGAAGCATGGCGTGGGACACTAAATGAACACACAGCAGAACCTCCTGAACAGAAGTGACTCCCAGCAAACCAGTCACTGAAGCCTGCTCTGGTAGCTCACAACTGTAGTCCCAGCACTTGGAGGCCAAGGCAGGAGAATCACCATGAGTTCCAGGCCTGCCAAGTAAAGTTTGTATCAAACAAACAAACAAACACAAACACCCCAGCAGCTTCACCTCACTTAATGAACCCAGTCTACCAAGCGATTATTCAACCTCTTGGAATAAAATCAAAGTTTTAAAAGATTTAAACAATTTTTAAATGTGTGTGTTTGTGTGATGGTATGACAGGTCAGTGGGTACCTGAGGAGGCCAGAAGAGAGTGTCAGATCCCCTGGGGCTGGAGTTATAGGCAGCTGCGAACCCAATGTGGGTGCTGGGAAAGGGTCCTCTGGAAGAGCTAGAAGCCCTGTTAACCACTGGCCTGGCTTCCCTGCACAATGTTCCTTTGTTTGTTTGAGACAAGAGTCCTGCAGTGTAGCCAGGAATTCTCTGTGTAGCCTAGAATGGCCTCCAGCTCTTGCTGAGCCAGATCCCTGCCTCAGTCTCTGCAGTGCTGAGGGCTGACAGGGGCTTTCTGCCACACCTGGACGGAGTGTGCGTTGGTTCCCTTTTTTTTTTTTTTATGTTGGCACCAATGTCTCAAGAGGTGGCATAGGCTGGCTTCAAACCAGTAACCTTTCAGCTTCCACCTCCTGAGTTCTGGGATTGCAGATGGGCCATCACCACAGCTGGTTAGAATGTTTCTGTAATAAGATTACTGATTCTGGGACCTGTTCCTTCCCCTGCATTCTAGCCTGGGGGTTTGCCCCAAGGCTTTCACGTCCTTACTCTCTCTTCTGCGTATTGATCCCCTTGCACGTCACTTCCCAGGACATTTCTGCCTGGGAGGGATGGCTATGGTCAACCACTTGTCACTCTTCATCTGGTTTCTCTCTTAGACATGGCTCACCAGGGCTCCGCAGATAAAAAAAAATCCAAGCACGGGGCAGAATATGTCTGGCCCTGATCAGGGCCACAATTGACAAGCCAGTGTCTATCTCCAGACTGGCTCTTGGGCTGGGATACATAGGGCAGTAGGTAGGGTTACCTAGCATGCACGATGCCCTGGGTTGGATTACTAGCATCCCATACGCTGGGTATGGTGGCGCACAATCAGGGGGGCAGTTCAAGCTCACCCGTGCTGTATGGGAGCTTGACCTACTCTAAGGCAGTGAGCCTTGGAGATGGCTCACGCACAAAGGCACTTGCTGCCAAGTCAGATGACCTGAGGCTGAGATCCACACGGTGGAAAGAATCATCTCCACAAGGTATTTCTCCAACCTTTCATGTATGCTGTGGGCGCATGCAGGAGCACACACACATGCACACACACACACACACACACACACACACACACACACACACAAATGTAGGAAAAATTAAAATCAAAGTCAACTAAATAACCTACTTCTCCAGAAAAAGAAAAGCTGTTGTAGGATTTGCATGTTTCGTGTTGCAAATCTACCCACTAGCGTCTGTTCTGAGCAATCCATGCGCTGCCCCTCTGCTCCTCAGGAAAAAGGGCAGCACAGGGTCTCCAGCGTATCAGTGGCCAAGCACCAGACGGCTTCCTCCACAGAGAAGAGCTAGTTAAACATTCTGGAACCTTCTCCAAAGGAAACGGTCTACCCTCACATCTCCTCATGGATTTGGAATTTGCTTTCTTTTTTTTTTTTTTTTTTTTTTTTTTTTTGAGACAGGGTTTCTCTGTGGCTTTGGAGGCTGTCCTGGAACTCACTTTGTAGACCAGGCTGGCCTCGAACTCATAGAGATCCGCCTGCCTCTGCCTCCCAAGTGTGTGGATTAAAGGCGTGCGCCACCAACGCCCGGCATGGAATTTGCTTTCTTTTGGTTGGGTTTGTTGTTTGGTAGCTCAGGCTGAGCTCAAACTCTTACGAAGCTGAAGAAGATCACGAATGTGTGATCCTCCTACGGCTACCTCCTAGTTATTTGTATTGAAATTACAGGTTCCTGCCGCCATGCCAGGCTTGGATTTGGGACTGCCGTTTGGTTACCCCCTCTCCTGCCTCCTAACCCCTCTGAGGTGTCATTGGCCTCTTCACAAAGGGGCACAGGAGGAACAGCCCCCCTCATAAAGGCCATCTGTACCTTCTGCATGTCTCCAGCATTTCATATATGAAATCATTGACATAGTGAAACGCCTGTGGTTCATTATGTGCGCTGCCTAGTCTAGAAATATGCAGAGACAGGGGCTGCGGATGAGTGGGAGGACGTGAGTTGGGGCCCGTTTTTTAACTTCTCAGAGAATCCCAGGTTTCAGTTAATGGCTTTGATCTTTGTAAGTTCCTGCTCCAAAATCAAATCTCTCTCTCTCTCTCTCTCTCTCTCTCTCTCTCTCTCTCTCTCTCTCTCTCTCTCTCTCTCTCTCTCTCTTCTTTTCTCTTCCTTCTCTCTCTCTCAATTCTCTCCCCCGCCCCCCATCTCTCTGTTAGCTTTTCACACAGTGGATGAGCACTGTGAATAGAAAAGTGACCAATGGACCATGCTGGTAGAGAAATGTAATGACAGGCAGGCCACATATCGGACTAGAGTGACAGCACTGGGAGAACACGGAGGGAGGGTGTTACATGTGGCTGATGAAGCCATGTACAGTCAAACAACGCTGAAAACCCACATGTTGGGACAACACCGTGTGCTGAGTCAGCCGTGCCTTTATGGGCCTGGCACTAAATAGGAGCAGGCAGAGAGCCCAGGCCTGGAGGGCACGCCGCCCCCCCCAGAAGTGGGGTGCAGACAAGGGCCTGGCAATCGTGCTTGAGTGGTTTCCCCCATTGTCTGCTGCCTTACTGGTCATGACATGTATGGCATCAGCCCTCGCCCCCTCATTCTTCTGGCATCCGTTAGAACAACACTTGCCAGCCCCAGGCGGGGTGTGTCTTTCAGCCTGGCTGTAACTTTCCGCATTTGTGGGGGTGTTGTGAGGGTTTACAAGACCTAATTTGACAAAGATCCTATATCAGAAACCGCGAGAAATTCTTCTAAAGAGGAAACTGGATTTGGCATCCCCTAACACACAAGCATTAGATTAAGATGACAGGAAGTGGCCTGAGAGATGGCCCAGGGCACACAAGCCCAAAAGCACACGCTGGGAAGGGAGAATCAACTCCCTAAAGTTGTTCTTTGGTGAGGGTGTGAGTGTGTGTGCACACAAACCTGCTCGAACACACGCACATTCACACAAAATAAGTAAAATGTAATAAAAAGAAGGAGAATGAAATTGGCAGTAAGAGCAGCTCTCACCTCTCACTGAAGAAGCTTGGTCTACAGCAGATGGAGGCAACTACAGAGATCCGTACTGATCAACAGGCACAGGCTAAGCATTCAAGGGGAGCCCTGCCCCACCCGGGACATCTGAAACCCAACCCCTGTGCTTAAACCTCGGGGGAAGTCTCAGAGCGGGACAGAAGAACTGTAAGAGTCAGAGGACCTGGACTTCTGGGGTAAGACAGTGTCTTCTGGTCGTGGCAGGAAAGCTGCTCCCATGCACTCTCAAGAGCAGGATTGCTCACACAGACCACACCAGTTGACATGCCAAGGTGGACGGGGAAATTCTCACAAGGCCCCTCACTTAAAGAGCTACATGCCGTCAGTGGCTCCTGAGAGAGGAAGAGAATCAGGTTTTTCAAGCGATGAACCCCCTTGAAGTTTTCCTTAGTCAGCCCTAAACACGTGCATATGTGGGCAACCGTAATTCGATTCAGTAGAATATGTACATGTGTGTATGTATGCATATAAATGCATGTGTGTATATACATATACACTAATTGTAAATTATAAAGGGGGCCATGAATTTGAGAGGGTACAAGAGGGACACAGAAGGAATTAGAGGAGGGAAAGGGAAGGGTGGAGATGATGTAAATACAGTACTCACGCATAAAATTCTCAGACAAGTAAAGCTGAAAAAAGGAATTGTGAGAAAATAAATTATTGTTGTTTTTGAAAATGTAATAAAGCTGGGTGTGGTGGTGCACACTTCTAATCCCAGCACTTGGGAAATAGAAGCTGACACATCAGAAATTCAAGGCTAGCTTTGATTACATGAAACTGTCTCAAAAGAAAACCAAAAAAAAAAAAAAAAAAAAAGCAAAACCCAGAGCTGAGGGCTGCAGGGATGGCTCTGCCGTTAAGAACACTGACTGCTCTTCCAGAGGACCCAGGTTCAGTTCCCAGCAACCACATGGCAGTTCAAAACTGTAATTCCAGCTTCAGGGGACCTGACAGCCATGGCAAAATACCAACAAAAACAGGGCTGAGGATACAGCTCTGTAGCCAGTGTCTTCCTAGCCATGTCAAAAGCCCTGGTTCAATCCCCAACACTGAAGAAAGGAGACATGGTGGCATACCAGCACTTGGGAGCCAAAAACAGGAGGATTAGAAGTTCAAGAACAGGGGCCGAGAACGTAGCTTAGTTTATGGTAGCGGGCTTTCCAGTACAATCTGAGCCAGGCATGGTGGTGCAAACCTGTAATCTGAATACTTGGGAAGATAGCTGGATTAGAAATTCAAGGTAATTCTCAGCTACGTAGTGAGTTCCAGGCCAGCCTGGGGTATATGGAACTCTGTT